GACTACGCCACTGTCCAGCTGCTGTCAGTTCCCACAGTTTCACACAGACGTCCTTGGCAACTGTTAGTTTCAATTAATGATGTAGAGAGTAGTTTAGTTTCTGGACATCATTCTTTAATGAGATAATCTTGCTATAAGATTGATTTCTTGATCTTTTAAATTGTTTTTTAAACACTTTGATACAATTTAAGTTGACCCAGTTTTTGTCGTAGTTGTTTTCTTTTGATCTGTATCAGCTAAGCTAACATCCAAATCAGTCCTGTTGTGGCTTTGAACTGGCCTTTTAAGCTTGTATAATGTTTCTTTACCATATGTAATAGTACATTAAAGTGCATTAAGTAGTCTTTCTAGCTAAGGCTGTCTGTTAAGACATGACACTTATTGAGTATTTTCACTTCTCAAAATGAGTGCATTCTGTGCAGTTCATCATTTCCTAAGGTTCTGTATAGTTTTGCCTTCTCATAAGTATGATATAATGCTTCACTTCTGCTTGCCTGTTGCACCGTGAGGATAATTTCTCACAATTACTGATTAATCTGTTCAGTTTAGTCTGTAATTTATCCTCCAAGAGTATTTTGTCATTGACGTCAGTCTCTCAAGTTAAACCTGTTTCTTAAGCTGCAAGGCCATCATTTTGCCAGTCTCTGCCCTCTGAGCCTGGGTCTTGCTGTGCAGAGGCCGTCAAGCAGGAGTCAACATTCATGGAGGCTGTTAAAGGAAGAACTAGATGGGCAGAACTCTCAAGCAATTTTCTTTCTCCTTAGTATCTCTAAATGCCCCTGTCATTTTTCCCATGTAAGTGCAGAAGCCTGTCCTGGAAACGTCTTCGGTGGTGGCTCACTTTGTCATTTTGGCCCAGGAGGTTGCCGCGTGTCCCTGAATCCTTGAGGTAGCCTTGTCAGAGAGGACCGTTATGCCAGCGATATGTCTGATTGGGCCTGTCTGTCGGGGCAGCAGCCGGTCCTGGCTCTGCTGTTATGTCACGAAGGCAGTGCAGTTCTGTAAGTGCTGGGCTGAAAAGGAGACAGCAATTTGTCTGAGCAGCCAGGGAGCCCTGTGTTGTTCTGAGGGTTTGATGTGGCAGGCGGAAACTTCTGTGTGTGTTATAATTGGACTAATCTCAAACGCTGAGTGCAAGCCCTTGGCAGACCCCCTGCTCACACTCATTTGGCAAAGGCTGCCTTTTCAAGAGACTGCCAAAGGCCACGTACACTAATCCTTACTTGAGCTTTTTAATTATTAAGTGGTTTAAACTCATAGCACAAACAGCTTCCTTTTTCTTCAACTATGATTTTGATTTCCTCCTGTATCGGAACTTGAATTCTGAATTGTAGGGCTTTTTATAATTAATTTCCAACTCTGGTCCTTGAGGTCCTTCACTGCTGAGGACACAACTGAATATTAAGATGAAGAGCATCTGGAAGGGGTTTCTTTACTCCAAGACTTGTAGGTGTCTAGACCGATCTAGTTAGCTGCGTAGCTGAAGCACATTCCCTTCAAGACTAACTGGATGAGATCCTTGTATCGATAAGTTTGAAGCAAGAAGAGCTGAAAGGTATGCAGTGGCCTGGAGGTGGTCAGCTCATGTGTCTCTTTACAGTGCCTCTCTCCCCGTGTGTCTCTCTGGCTCATGTCCCACAGACTCCCCTACAGCACCTGTGGTCCTTTCCAGTAATGGAGTAAATATCAATTACACTCAGGGAGATTCTAGTGAAGTACCTAGCAACGATGGCACCCAGAATGTAAACGGGATTGTTATATCTGCTTTCTTGCTTCACAAGATGATTACGTGATCTTACATAGAGACTCCCAGCAGGTGGTGGGTAAAAGCAGTACTTTGAAGTACAGTAGGTGCAAAATCCTTAAAATATTGATGAGAAGATTCTTGTATTTGTGTGATTTATTTATACCTGAAATTGCAGCAACAGCATGTTGAAATGCCCTCTAAAATAAATATATATATGATTCATTGCTTCTGGTGTACAGTTTGGTAAATTTGTCCTCAAAACTCTGGTCTCTACTGTAGCTACATATTTACATACAGTCTGAATTTGATAATGACAGACATCACCAGGGTCAGCAGGCAGCAATAGTAATGTCTCTGTTGTATGGACTTATGACAAAGTCGTCTGTACTGTGTTGCACTAGGTCGTTATCTTCAGGTACTTATTGCGGCTTGTTCCCAGAAATGACTGCACAGAGTGTCTGTGCCCGAAGGCAGACAGTTGACATGGTGTTGCTGATGCACTGAAAGCAGTGCCGTGTTTGTCCTGGAGCAGATCTCAGCCCTGTACATTCTTACACGTGTGCCTGCCCGTCATGGATGTGTGCCGTGTGGAAACCATTGTGGGTTTGTCAGCTGAAGAGTGCCTTATGTGACACGCCATGTTAAGGAGAAAAAACAATGGAGACATTTGTTTTTCCCTAGTCTCTTTTAGTTCCCTGGCACACAGTTCTGTATCTCACAACTACAGTAGATCTTCTGCAGGCTCAGCTTGTCAGCTTGCCCTAGCTTACAGGTCAATCTTCAATCTTCTAGACCTAGAAATGGCTAGACCAGGAAATGCTGTATTTGGTAAATGGATAAATAATAGTAATCAGAATAATTCTTGCATTTGCACAGGGAGAAAGTATTTAACCTGTCTAGATCAGGCAGCCTTCACATACACAGCAGATCGGTTGAGATGAGAACTAACTTCATTTAAACTGGAGGAAAAATTCAGGCAGGCCACTCAATTGAGCAAACCTGAAATGGAATTTTGCTGGCACCAGGGGAGCAGCAGCCTTATTCTAACAAACCATGCCGTGAGATCTGTATTATCCTTCCCATAGCCCAGAGTATTGGGCGTTGCTTGTGTATTTCTGGTACAGAGAGAAGAGTGCCTACACCAACACCTTAAGGCAGCCATCCGATTATCCTAATATTGACTATGCACAGCCTTTCTGACTGAGATCTAAAGAGATGAAGCTTTAGGATGTCATAGCTGTTGGAATAAATCCTGTATTTCATTCAGGTGAATCTAGAGCTGGAAGACCCTTAGGCAGTCCACGTCAGGGCTGGCCATGACTTTTTTTAGTCAGCAGTGAAGCCTCTGCCCTAAATGAGACAAATGGTGACCTAAAACTGTAGAACACATAGAATGGTAAATGTCCAGTAACAACAATTTACTGCACAGAAGCTCAAACCTATAAAATGTTTTTTAAGCTTTTTTTTCAGGGGTTCATTAGGGAATTTAATATCGCTGGCCGTAAACACTCCTGTTGTGTTATTTGAAAAGTCAATTTCATTATATAAAATAAACATGTGCTCGTGCAATTACATTGCTTCGAAACAGCCCTCAAGGTGTTTTGTCCTGTGCCAGCAGAATAATTGGAGGGGTTTAGATGAACACTTAACATTTGCAAGATAATCTTGACAAAAGACAGCAGTCTTTGAGTTGAAGCACAGCAGAAACCTCAGGAGACAGAGGAAAGGGGGGAGGAAGGAGGTAAAGAGAGTGATGGCGAGAGGGAGGGAGCGCAGGCGTCCATGGAACAGGATGAGAGCGGTGGTGTGCGGACTGCTGGGACGTGTCAGTGGACCGTCAGTAATCTCTGGCCCTGTTTTTGTTGCAGGGCTGCTGGGCCCTCAAGGCTGCTCAGGGGGCTACTGCAGCGTCAAACACCAGCAACCCACACACACAGCCTCTCCCTGCATGTTTCCCTGTGTGCTTGCTAGCCGGTGGATGTGTCTTCCTCTCTGCATGTTTGGTCTGATGGTTTGAGGGTCCGCTATCTTCATGAAAAGGCGTGTCCATTGGTCAAGCCAGTCTTTCCAAGTCCTTAACTAGTGTGAAGGGGGTGGCTGTCTTAGTGAGCCTCCTTTCACTATGTGTAGAGGAGAGAGGGAGATCAGGGCTCTCATAGAAAAGCAAGAACAACATAAGTTTATGATATAAAATATTTTTGCCAACTTTCTCAGGTTGTGCCGTAGTACAACCAAAGTAGAGCAAAGACTTTAGGAAAGCAAGAGGGGCTGCTGAGGGGTTGTACGGGGTGCTTCTGGAGGAAGAACAAGATTCTTGCATAGGGCACTGAAGCAATAGAAGCAATTGCCATTTTAGTCTGAGCCTTTCTTTATAAAGAGAATGGAAGAGGAAGCATTGACGTTTTGCGAGTCATTAATTAGTCACGAGTGACAGGTGAGTGGCAATGGTGCTCTTGTAGCAGCACTAATGAGCTCACCTCAACCCGTCCACCTGACCTCAGTGTTGCTCAAGCTGCAGAAGAAGACAGGGACAAGTAAAACCTCTGCCCTGCTCGTGGGCAAAAAAGAAGAAAAGTCAAACTCAGGAATAGGAGCACGGAAAAACCAGAACATGACTTTACCCAGTGTTGGGAACCATGGAAAAAAGAAGCATAAACAATGTCTGAACTTACACTGAAGGAGGGGTTTTGAAAACGAATACCAGGTAATAAACTGCAGGATACAAGACATGCCACTTAAAGTACATAAGAACTCGAGGGCAGAGGTGTGGCTCTGCCCAGATTCAAGCCCACCCCTAAGGTGCGCTGCAGGAAGGAGAGCCTTCATTATCCTGGGGACTGTGAGCGCTGAGGTCAGTGAGGGATTCTCGGTCGATCCCGGTGCAGTCGCTGTGATGTGTGTAAGGAGTGCAGCAGAGGGAGAGACAGACAGACAGGGACACAGAACTCGACACAAAAGAAGAGAGGTGGCGTGAAAAGCTGGCAGCCCTCCATATCTCTCCCCCTCCGACTTGCGTACTCTCCGTCTCTTTCTCCTTCCTCTTATCTCTCTTTTCTCTCCATTCTTCTTTCTTCCCCTCCTTGTTTTCTTCCCGTTTTCGTCACCATGCCTCTCTGTTTCAACCCTTTCACTCCCTCTCTTCCTCCGTTCCCCCTCCTCAGCCTTTTCTCCTCCCTCCCTCTCTCTCTTCCCCTTGTTCCCTCCCTCTCTGACATTCTCCCAGTCAGTGTGAGAGCTGAGGGAGTGAGGGACGGGTGGACAGAGTGTGGACGTGACCGTAGGGAGGAGTGAGGACTGAGGGGTGGCGATGGAGAGAGAAGAGCAAGCAGGTGGGAGAGGAGACCTCTTTCATTCTCTGTCTCGTCTGTCCTTTTCTCTTTTACATTCTGTTTCCAGATTTCTTTGGCTTATCTTTTCGTTTTGCCCTGTCCTAAAGTCCTCCTCTGGTCCTGTCTGTCATCTTTAATTGTGCATGGAATAGTATTGTATTTATGCCATCTAACAATGAGATTTTAAAAAACAGAGCACAGAGGGAGGCTTTCTTGTGAATGCAGTTGAAGGGGACTCTCATCCTGCAGGCATGCGTTTACTGTACTTATGCACATGTACACATGTGTGTGTATGCATTCCTCTAGCCCTTTTTGCCAGATACTAACAGCCTATCGCTAATACTTTATAGCTATTCGTTCACTTCTAATTCTCTGTCTGTCTATTCTTCCCTCCCTCTCTGCACTGCTCCTCTCCTCCTGGTCCCTGTCTTGATTGAAAGCTCACAGTACATGACTTTTCAGATGTGCATGATCCCTTGGGCATGATTCAGTATGAGTACCTGCAGCCACAGAGAAACACGGTTGTCTTTTGAGGAGGAAGACAGGTGTTTGTGCGGAGAACACTTGAGTTTGGGCACGTTTGGGTTAACGCCGCTGCGCACGTGCAGGCTGTCCATTTGCGCTCATGCGTTAGCTCATGTGGTGTCACATTGGGGTACAGGATGTGGCTGAAGTTCTGCTCTGGCAGAGGCAGAGAGAGAGGGAGAGCAGGAAAGAGGAGAGGAAATGTCAGGATGGACAGACGTATCGTCTAAGTGGGACGTGTGAAGGACCCCAAATGTAAAGCCATAAAGAGAGCAATGAAATTATTTTATTTAATTTATATTGTTCATCAGAGATAAGGATCTCCAAGCCATTTATTTTTTATGACACATTTGTTAAATGTTTTGTAAAAGATGGAATTGAAATTGATATCAACTCCTTGACAATTCCTGAGTTTCAGAATTGGCGTTCATAAGCCAGGCAATGAGTCTTCTGCATGAAAGTAAAAAAGACAAGTCCTCAGGGTGGGGTTATTTAATACATTGTCCCGATCCCACCTGTGTCAGGAACTGATCACCATTTATGAGCCATAACGTCAAAAATAACAGTATAGCTGAACAGTAAGCTGAAGAGAGCTGAACTACACAGTACATTCTGTATTCGGCCATTGGAAACAGTACCCCTTGAAGTTGTGTATTTTTTTAAATTCAGGAATAAGTGCGCAGACAAGTTAACCAGCAGTCTAAAACAAGAAGGCCAGTCAGTTTAAGACATCATTTGGCAGAGGTGCTCAAGAGCTCATCTGGGGTGAAAAGCAGCAGTCACAGGCCTCCCCCAGACCACTGCTCCTGTGGTGTTAGTGCCTTCTGGTGAGTACAGTGGATATCCATGAAAACATACTCCCCATGATCTCATTTACATCTGTACCACATTTCATTGCTTAGCGTTGCATGGTACAGCTGTCTGAATGGACCAGCAAGTATTATGGGCATCCAGTAGTTTTAAACACTGAGAATAATGGAACAGTTTTACATAGAAAAGATGTGCCCTGATAAACCATGTGTTCGTTCTAGTCTTGTTGTCAGATTTACCACGGGAACATGATTGATTTTTTTATCAATTAAAAAGTCAATGGAATCAACACCTCTCTCGTCCTCGCTCTTTATGCTAATTTCCATATTATAATTTGCAAATTGGTGGAGTCAGAGATCCTCGTTTAAATGATTCATTCAGTTTCTTCTGTTTGTCTTTGTTAATTGGAAAAGGTAGCCCGTGCTTTTGTGTGTTTCTGGTTACTTGCTGCAAAGACAATGGAAGATGAATACTGGTACTGCAGGCTTAAACACCTCTCATGATTAAGAATGAAGGAAAGAATAATAGCTTAGAATAATAGTGTCTTTAAACAGATAAAAAAGACCTGCCCCTTGTGCTTGTGTTAAATAAGGAAGAGCAAACAAAAAGTGCACAGTCCTACAGTATCTGCCTTTCACAGTATTGAAAAGCCCAGAACTGCTTAGTGTGCTGTACTGTACACACGGTTGCTGTTTTCACTTTTGAAAGAACTGGGCCAGGGCTTGGATTATCTGTGATAAACTCAACCTCTTTTACAGGTAATTCATCCAGCGGCTGCCAGCCTTAACAGGATAAATCGAAAATGTCTTTCTTAGATCTACACGGCTCCAGCACCTGCCTTGTTAAAGACATTAAAGTCTTAATTCATCGAGAGCGGATCGGTCTGCGTTGTTCTCGTGAGCTTCCACTTGCTGGAGCCTCGGTGCCGTGTTTGAGTCTCCGAACAGCGGTCTCCTCTTTATTTCTTTTCCTGGAAACTCTCCGTGACAGAGCAGGGCCCTCTTCACCGTGTACTGCCAGACGGCTCAGAGCTGCTTCAGCACTTCTGCACGTAACTGGGCTGAAGCTGCCTGTCAGTTTCAGTCAATAACTATACCAGTGCCGATGCTCTGCTGTCACGGCTGCTCTCCAGAGCTCATACTGTCAGTGCTGATGGGTCAATATGAAGAATATTATGCACAGTGGAGCCCCAGATATTGAATTCAATGTCAGGTGTTAGTTTGGTGGCTTGTTGGGTGAATGTTTTTCTGTAAGAGCCAGTACTGATTCGTGGCTGGCAGCCTGATATATAAAGATGAAAGATTTCCTTGCTGGCTGTGATAAGGGAATATTGGACAAAAGATGTTTTTTTGTGCACCTTATTTGACAGTGCTCGATAATTATTATTTGGCAAATGCCATTAAGGTCAGTTGAGTTTATTCAGATTTACAGACCTGGGGTTAATAACATTGAGGCAGTATTGGTGCAGCACAATCTGCTTATCTTGGTCCAAGACAGGTAAACTAATACATAACAGAATACAATATCTGCTGATATTTACACTTCTCTGGACAATGTTAATACATTCAGGAGCGCTGGATCTTTGATTGATTGCTGTTCCTGCTCTGCTATTTTCAGGATAGAGTTGGCTACTGACCCGAGGATCAACCTTACAGTCCTAGATCCCAGTCTGCTCTTGGTTGAGCCACTCTGGAGGCCTGGAAAGAGAACATTTAACTGTTCTCTACTGCCTGTTTTTCACATGTTAAAAGTTAATGCGTTAATGGTTTGTGTTTGTGGAAGGTTAAGGACTGGTATGGGCTGCTGAACCACGAGTGTCAGCAGTCACAGTACGGACTTCCCCTCGCAGTCCTGCAGGCTTCCTACAGCCCTGCTCCAACGCCCACTGCCGTATGGGCACTGCCAGCACGGCCTGCCAGACGCTGCTGAGTCATGTGGTGGGCCCATTTGTGATGTGGGCTGATGCTCTCTGAGGGCTCAAGTCAACAAAATAAAATGATAAAAAAAAACATTTCCATTCCTGAGAAATGATTATTGAGCCATCTCTATCCCTAAAGGATTGTGTCTTTGGAATAGAAAAATGCTTTGAATGCGCTTTGTGCACCTGTCATTCTGTACTGCTCTTGTCCTACTGTTTTTATCCACTGCAGACATTTTAAACCAGGGGTTTTCAACAAGGCTCTGGAAACCTGGGAGATCACCTCAAGTCTAGTGCTGGTTGAAATCAACACTTGCACAGTAGATCTGACCTGACGTTGCCTGTGGTTGGCCGTTTCACCTGAAGTTTTTATTCCTTTTATAAAAGTAGCATTATTAATGATGAGTGTACAGACTTCAGTTGGATTTAAACCGAGGAACCTTAATTGAGAGAGATTTCTTGAAAGGGGATTCTTAAGCCAGAAATGGTTGAAAACTCTGGAGTTATGACTGCAAATCAGTTGCCAGAATCGCTTTCTAAAAATTGTTGTGTGAGGCAGGAAAGCCCATCTTGAAAACTAAGAAAGACAAGGCATTATGGGTATATCAAGTCCCGATTGACCCTGTATGTGGGAATGGAAGAAGGTTCAACAGCTGAAATGTTAGATATGATTGGTAAATATGGAGATTTGACACTAATATACCTTAACGTACCTTTAATTAGTCGAGCTAGGAGTGGTGGCTCAACAGAAGGAGAGGTAAACAGCTATGTTGGGGAGGGTGTGTGAGGCCCACAAGGTCTGGGTGAGGGCAGGTTGCTACAGTATAGTGAAGGGGGGAAAGGAAGAGGATGGAGTGTTCAATCACTGTACGTGATGCTGCATTTACTGCTTTTGATCAACAGGGCAGTGATGTGCCTCACCAAACCTGCGCTCCAGATAAAGATGACCCGGAGCAACAGTCATAAGAAACAAAGCCTTAGGCAGAGGGGAGAGGGAGGGAGACAGAGGAAAATAGATTTGAGCAGGGAGCTGGTGACATGAGACTCTGAACAGTGATTGTAGGACTGTGATGTGATTTTGATTCTCAGCTGTCTTCCTCAGCTTATCACAAAACCTTCACATAATGCTGACTGAGTGGCTGAATGGCAGATTGATTTTTAAAAGAGAGTGGGAAGCCAGAGTAATGAGGAGGGAGGGATGTGAAGAGGGTGAAAACTGAGATGGAAAAGAGAGCTGGAAAGAGCAGACTAACAAACAGGGAGAGAGAGAGTGCAAATGACAGAGAGTGGGGTGGTTTTAAAATGAAGGGAACAAAATACATGTCCTGATGTGCTCAGTCTTCAAGCAGGAAGACTCCTGGCATCAGCAAACAGTTTAATATTTGTCTTCTTTAGCTTTGTGGGGCCAAAGAGGAGATAGAGGTAGTGGCAGAGATCGTGAGATTGTAAAGATTTGAAACAGTGATGGAGGAGGGCTGTTTAGGAATGGAGCTGATAAATGGGGAGGTGTCATTTATCGGAGGCCTAGTTGTCTAAAGATGCGGCAAGGATTTGGTTGTATTATTTATAGAGAACCTGATACCTGGGGTTGTGGTAATGACTTTTATGGTGACAAATGGCTCCAGGGGAAATGTAATGCACTTTCTAACTCTCCCTTTTGGCTTTTACTCTCCTCCCTGTCTGTGAAACTTCATTATCCAGTCTTATTTCTCTCTCTCTCCTCCTCCATAGCCTTCAGTAAGTCTTC